TTTGATTAGACAGGAATTACCGGACATATCACAAATCACTGTATACAAAAAAATAAATAAATAAAAATAAAAAAAAATCAACATACAAAAATAGCGACTGCGGCTTAAATGAAAGTAATGCAGTAAAAGAAGCAATACAGCAATAAAATTATACTTGTTTAAAAGTAAATATACATTTTTAAAGAGCCCTTATTATGCACTATATAAGGTCATATTTTGGTGTTGGAGGTCTCTAACAGCTGGCTGATTTGCATGTAAGGTCAAAAAACCCTTTCATTGTCTTTTAATAAGCATTATTTTTACCTAATTATCCCAGCAAATCCTATACAATTTGTTCAGTGATTTATTTGTTACCAAACCCCACCTTTGCGTGATGTTGAAGGAAGAAGCATGCGTTGCATTTTCAACGTGGTTTGGATGCAATACGTGAACCAGCTCAAAGAGATTTAACATAAAAGATCTGTAATAGATAAGTAATTACAAGTCATGCTGAGCAATTACAAATACAACACACAATTAAATACACATTTTGCAAACTACAGAAAATGAGGCAACCATATTAATCACACTTACAGCTCGTGTAGGAAGGAGAAACACTTAAAGGGTCTATAGGAAGAGGAAACTGGTCCATATAAACTGTGTAACAGTTACTGACAAAGTCCCATTCATTCACAGCCCATTTACACGACAACGTTTCCTATTTTCTTTGAATAGTTGACGTCAAGCGTTGGCGAACTGAATTGTAGATAAGTCGGCACCGCTTCAGGGGCTTCAGTCACTGTAGAAGTTGAAAATTTCTCAACTTTTTTAAAGCACCAATGGACGCGTTAGCCAATCAGATCTTTATGCAAAATCACAGACAAAATTTATTTGCTGACGTTGCTATGAGCAAGCAACTTGAAAAATGTAGTGAGCTAAGTTATTAGCTACTCTATTTAAATGTAGCTTAACTACACTAAAAGCTAAATTGTAGCAAGCTAATCTAAAAGCTACTAGACAAAAGTAGCTTAGCTACATCGAAGCTATTTTTATAGCAATCAGTTCAATTATTAACTGCAAATAATATGCTGTATTAAACAGAAACAAAATATAGTATATAAAAGCAAAAAATAAAAACCAAATAAAAGCAGGTTACACATTTAAAATACTATAGTAATTTATAGTAAAGGGAAATATTTAGGATTAAGAATTAAATTGTAAATATATACTCTTCATTAATCAATTACACTGCATAATGCTGTATCATTAACTATCACAAATTAATAGTAATTACCATAGTATACTTAAACTTTTAATACAGTAAACTATAGTCTTCTCTCCCTCAGTCATCTTTCCATCAAGTAAATTTAGGTGGCAGTAAAGCACCAAAATGCTTATTGTCGATCAGCGTAAAACAGGAAGAATTCATCATTTTCGCTATCATGTTGATTTACTTTCATCGGCAAGACACCGGCCTCAAAGCTCCGTGAATTTTGGTGCCATTACTTATTGATCAGCAATCAGTAAATGTAGCTTGTGTGGACGTTACTGCGCTACTTGACAAAAAAAAAAAGTTTCACTACAGAAAAGCTATTTAATTTAGAAAGTAGTGACGCTACCACCACGGTACTGAAAAATGTAGTTAAGCTAGCTGCATTACTACTTGTAGCGCCGCTACTACCCAACACTGGCTATGAGGATCGCATCAGCCCCAACTTCAGAAATGCCCTCCATGCTCCATCAAGCGTTGACACTAAAGCCCCATGTGAATCAGATGTAATAGTCTTTGCTGATCCTTCCTTTACCAAATGGTTGACAAATCCCACTTTGCAGGATAGGTTATTCTATTAATCATCAGAAAAATGACAGCAACAAACACAGCAAATCATATACTGTAGTATTGTTGAGAAAATGAACTTTAACTCTTTATTCCCCACAGTTAGATATCTGGTCATCTCTCTGTGATAGTAATCTTTGCATCATGATCAATTCTATAATCCCCTGCACTCAGCTAGTGTTTGAAAGGTAGGGCGTGTTCACATTTTACCAGATTCAGCACCTCACATTTGGCGAAGCTGCATCCCAAATGGCACACTATACACTATGCACTCATGCACTATGTACTTATGCACTTACACACTCAACAGCATAGTATATGTATGTAGTGTCGTCCCAAATGGCACACTAATGTTTTTTTACTATGCGGAAATGCAAACTGTTTCCCTAATGACGTTTGACGGTTGCCAAATCAGTGAAATAACGACTTTATCAGTGAAATAAACTAATTATCAAATAATACCTTCCGTGAGTATAACTGCATTCACCACCAGGAGGCGCTAAAATCGCTCTCGTAGGAGAATTTTGCTTTCACCATCCAAAATAAATAAAGTTATCCAACATGTGTGCCCGATAGCTCCGTCCCTTCCGCTACGTAAGCAAACCTGCGGTCGTTGAGTGTGTGAAGTGTCCATCATTACACACTTCATTTTAGCGGCTGAATGAGTGCATCATCCGGGTAATTAAAGTGCACTTATTATTTTTAGAGTTTTCAGCGTGAACACTCTACTTACACTATTTATACTACAAAATGGCGTAGATCAGTGCATAAGTATGCGATTTGGGGCGCAGCTAATGTGTCATATCGACATCGATACAAGCAAGTAAAAGATCCAAACACAAAATGAATCATTTATTAGACTCTGTGTTGACTCTATTGTTTTAAAAATCAGTTATTTTAAACACGGTACACTTTCAGATTTAAACATCAGCTGGATGTTTTCGTTGACTTAGAGCTGTGTTACACACTGCATGGAAGGTCATTTTTAAAAACCCATAATAGAAGCTCTTTAAAACGTATAAGTAAAATTGTAAAATTTGTAAAAATTTGAAAAACTAGTAAAAAGTTAGTAAAAAAAAAACTAATAAAATTTTTTTTTAATTATAAAAACTACAAGTAATTTGAGTATTTGTTATTTGTTACTTTACACTTTTGTTAAAGACAAGAACCAATTCATAAAGTCATTCGTTTGGGAGGAGGGGTATACTCATAGCTGTTTGCTTCTGATTTTACTAAACAGATCTTGTTCATGTGAATCATTTGCTTAGTAACTGAACTACAGTTGCCTGTGCTGTTGATTTGACAGCAGTTTTGCAAACCCTTTACTGACAACATGTAGTAAATGTGTCAAACTGCTAAATTTTAATCTGGATTATTTACTGTGTGATTACCTGCTGTGCAATCGCATAACTTTTCATTTTTTTAAATGAGCAGAGCAACATCTTAATTAATATTACAATGAAGTTTCAACATAAATCCCAATGGATAGACAATGCTGTTTCAATTCAATCGTTTTGTCATTCTGACAAGATGAAGTGTTTGCCATACTTCGAGTATCTCTTTGGGATAGCAGAAAACCTGCTTAAAATAAATAAATAATATAAAAACACATGATATCTGACCAACTCCAAAAGCATTTAAAATGTACCATCTGCTGCCTGGAATCTTGTTTGTTGTCTAACTCTTTCATGTACAGTCCCCAGAGACTGGGAACTATTTTCAGGCAACTTTAAACAACATGAATTGAGAGGAGCAGACAAAGCTCCCATGACAGCCGATAAGCACAAGCCTCTTTCAGCAAACATAAATCAGAAGGATATCTCAGATGACTCCCAGAGCTTTCAAATACTGCTAACCTAATCATAAGTCAAGATAAAAGCCTCCTGTGATAAAGCATTTAAATATCAACTCAACTCACAGCATACACTAACAGACACTGCTGTAGGTTTTTCATATTAAAAAAGAGTGGAAAAAACTGCAGATGTCAACACTGCCAGTGCAAAGCAAAGAATAAGCAAGAAATTAGTCTGCGATGAAGATTTCAGACAGGATTTACATAAACAGTCAACCAGGGGAACTGCTCAAGGGCACAAAAACACGTGAAAAAAAAATGGAAAAACACCATACCAAAGGTTAAAGACTATTTGAAATTGTAAATACTTTTAGTCAGTTTTTTTTTTTTTTTTAATAAAAAAACTAAATGAATAATTCCTGTAATGGTGAAAATGCCCCCTTAATGGTGATGATTTTATAAAGCCATATGACCATGAATGTTTATAGATAACATTCTTTTTAATTCTGGTCAAAATGTTTCATTAATGTTAATTTAAAAGGATTAACAAGATAAACAAAAAATGTAAATTAATTAAGGGAACCGGTGTTGGGCAGCAAAAATGTGCCATCTAACAGCTTCAGAAAACAATTTAAAGATTAAAAGGCAACCAACGTGAGGACAAAGATTTTTTTTTTTTGGTTTACAAAACTTAAAGTTAAATAAGTTGTAGATTTATATGCATGTTAAATAAATATACACTGAACAAACTTATTTAAACTTTCAATTTATGTTTGGTTGACTAGATTTTAAAGTTCTCATAATGTCTAAATATAAGCTTATAAAAACATGATAGCTCCTAAGCAACCATGTGAGACTGTTTTCTGACAGGACAAAACAAAGAAGCACATTATACTAAATGTACTAATAGGTTGTATATGCAATCAAAATCTAGATTTGTGGTGAAAATACAACCTCGCTTTACTGAAGTGTAGCACCTTTTCTATTATTCTTTTCAGCCTATATTACCAAAACTGCTAGATTGTTGCATTTTGTCTATTATTGTTTATTGTAAATTTCTGATATTGTCTGGTCTCCTGATTTGGCACATTGTACCCCAATCATGTTGTGTTAAGTTGTTTGTGTTAGATTAACTTTATTTTTAATTGTAGATGTTTGTCAACGCTCCTCAGAGTAAATGCAAATATCTACAACTCAGTCCAGCTTTGTTATTATGTCTAATGTCATGTGTTAAAGACTTGTTGCTAAAATTCAGTGACCTACACTGGTAGCTAAAGAGTGTTTATAAAAACATGAAAGACCTTAAAGCAAAACGTACTGCCATAATTAAAAGTTTTACAGAAATCTCTAATCTACGTTAAGCTAGCTCAGCTAAGTTAACTGTAACGTTACCTTCTGTAAGCCCCTTATAACTCCGGTCCTTCGCCCTCAGAAAAACGCTTTCGTCGGCTGCCATTGAAACGCGATAGACACAGTAATAAAAAGCGAGGTTTAAACTGGTTATGGACTTTCGTTTCCCTGTTTGGTCACGAAATAAGGGCGTTCTGTGCACTAATACTGACTAAATCGTTAGTTCCTGCTCGTAAATCGATGCGTTTAGTGATGTATTAGCGATGTCTGGGAATGTGCGGACTCCAGAGAACTCAACAGAGTCAGAGAACGACTGTCTGACAAGAAAACAAAATAAATCTAACATCCAAAGCTCAATCTCGAAATATTTTCGGAATTGCAAAATAAATGACAATGACAGTATAAACAAAACAGTGCTTATGATGCTTTTTAATCATACCAGTATATAAACACAAGAGTTAAACAACAACAACTAAGAAACTTTAAAGTTCAGAACACAGGTGTAGGCCTTATATATATATACTAGCTATATATTTGATAATATTACTAATAATTGTATTAATGATATTAAAATAATGAAATAGTAATAATAAAATATATAATAATTGCAAGGCTTCTCATATCTATACTACTTTTAACAACATCTGAATAATATAGGTACAATTAAATTATATTCTATTACATTAGAATTTAACAACAACAACAACAACATTAATAACAATATACAATAATATATTATAATATTGCTAATCTCTGCTATCATTTTGCTATAGTACTCACATGTTATATCTGAATTACTTTATTATAGCAAGCCGTTCTTTTCTGGTAAAATTGGATATTCATCCATTTATTCATTCATTCATTTTCTTTTCGGCTTATAGTCCCTTTATTAATCTGGGGTCGCCACAAAGGAATGAACCGCCAAACTATCCAGCACATGTTTTATGCCATTCACAACCCAACACTGGAAAAGGTCAAACCGGATATTTAAAAAATAGATGCAAAAAGTAAAACAAAACATCTACCAGTGACAGAGATTAAAATGTTGTAAACTTGACAAAAAACAAAACCTTTCAGTTTTTCACACGAGCTTGCCTATAGACGAATAATATTTTTTATTGTAAAACGTTTTCTCAAACGGCACAGTAACATGGTCTGGTTTCATCAAGCTTGTTTACAGTCAAGCACAGTGCAGACTCGCAAAGGTGTTGCGTTGCGCAAATAAACTAAAAATCATATAGGCTATGAGCTTTATTTTCTGTATGGTGGTCACTGGTCAAGTTACGCGCAACGACTTGCTTATGATCCTATAATGAGATATGTTGCTAATAAATTTAAAGATGAGGAAGGGTAACCTATTCGTTTTCGAGTTGCATGGACCATCTTAAATCAGAATGCAACTTTCACGGCGATTCTTTACTACACGAGCTCTTCTTATCCAATAGCCCTCCCATATCTCCTCCTTCCATTTACGCACTGTCTCTCCCACTCTCCGCGCGCGCGCTCCACAGTTCTGCCTCTGCTCTCCTGTCATCATCACAAACAAAGACAGCCTTCAGGGTAGTTGCGCAGTGGTTTCACAGATCAACAAAGTACTTGACAATCAGCAGAACAATTGGGATTGAGATCAACACCGGCAGGAGTGGACTTCCCAAACATCTGCGGTCTTAATTTACCTCTTTGAAAATGCAAACCTCCCCGGATGGCTTTGTTCAGTCGTGTGGATTTATGCCCTGCTGTCGGTGGTAGTACAAAGTCAATTCTCAGTCTCACTTTGTCCTTTAAGGGAAGCCTCCAGGAGACTACAGGATGAAATGGACAGTTTTGCTGTTAGAATACTTCTTGGTCAAAGTTCTGGTGCTGTTGTACAGCGCGGACGGGGAAGCGCAGCAGCTCGAGGGCTTTATAATGCTCTCTGGGTCCAATGGGTCCCGGGATGAGGAGAGCGTTTCTGAACCTCCACACACCGAGGACAAATGTCGGGGTTACTATGATGTCATGGGACAATGGGACCCGCCGTTCGTTTGCCAAACAGGCAATTATTTATACTGTTGCGGCACTTGTGGCTTCAGATTTTGCTGCGCTTATAAAAACTCTCGTTTGGATCAGAGCACTTGTAAAAATTACGACACACCAGTGTGGTTAACAGGACAGACACCGTATAAGAAAACATTAGACCCGAGACACGATCCAACCAAGGATAAAACAAACTTGATTGTGTATATAATATGTGGAGTAGTGGCAATCATGGCACTGGTTGGGATATTTACCAAACTTGGACTAGAAAAGGCTCACAGACCTCATAGGGAGAGCATGTCTCGGTAAGCAGCTGAAATTTTCCTTTGACAGTTCCCATTCTCTATTTGAATTTAAATAAAATGCTTCGGCAAAAGTGCTATTTGGTGATGTAGGCGACTTACAAAACAGTAGGCTATAATTTATTGTAAGCGTGTTTGCTAAATACATGCATTTGAGGTTCAGACTCAAGTTAAAACAACACTCTTAAAATCAGAATCAGTGATGTCAACCTTTTTTGTTCCTTAATGAACATTTTAGGAACATGTTCTTTAGGCAATCATTTTCTTTCCTGTGAAAAACATATTGAGAATCTAAATAACTCATTTACACTGTAAAGAACCTTTACTGGAATAAAATGTCTCTGGATGTTAAAGGTTTTTAGAATGATTGATGACAGAGACACTTTTTAACAATTAAAACAATTAAATAAAAATGAGTTAGAAGAGCACACAAAGATGTCATTTAATTGCCATAGTTGCTGTTTTTAAATGCAAGAATTCCCCAGCATAAGTGGCTGAGAGGGCTGCTTCACACATGGTGCTTTCAAAAACAAGCAGACAACCGACTGGAGCACATCACGTGTGCCTCAAAATGCATTTGATTGTAAATATTTCAGTTTGGGATTTAATCTAGATACAACAAAGCAAAGAGAAACATGAATCTATTTTGGCATGGAACACTGAAAAAAATGTGTGTAAAAGTGATATATCTGATTCATGTACAGTATGATTGAAAGCAAATGACTATAAACTTTAGGTAAGGTACTCAACAATGACTAAAAATCTCTAACTAAATATTCCTTAAATTTCTTTGGTAAATTTGCTTGGTTAATATTATATCAATATTTAGGCCACAAATAAAATAATGTAAAGAAAACACAATTTGAAACATTAATAATGTTCTATGTTCTTGAATGCATCATGTCTACACACTATCCCAAACAGTTACACTGAAGCATTCAAAAACAGAATAAAATGGACTATAAAATGACTTTCGCCATGTTTTGTGCATGAGTCTTGGGTTTTAAATAAACCTTTTTGTTAAATTAGAAGATGTTAAAAAACAAGCATGTCATGAGTCATTCTATAGTCCATTTTTTTCTGATTTTGAATGCTTCAGTGTAACTGTTTGGGGTGGTGTGTAGACATGATGCATTCAAAAACAACTTACAGCATTATTTATGTGTTTCAAATTGTGTTTTCTTTCTTTTGTGGACTTAATATAGATATAATATTGCATGAAGAGTATAAAGTGGTAAGAGAGGGTAAGCATGGGACGTTAAAAACCCTGCGGAAAATTGATTTACAGTATTTAGTAGCTTATATGAATTTGCTCTTCCCAACTGCTGGGTCAAAATGTCAAATTATTTAACTCATATTTAGCTCAGTGGCTGGGTTTGTGCCTATCTGATGCAAACTTGGGTTGACATAACCCAGCAATATTTAGCAGTGTGGCATTGTAGGCTAAAATTTCCCAGGGTAAAAAAAGAATCACCAGACAAAGAATTTCACCTTCTGTAGCTTTTTAGCCAGAAGCGCTGCTTGTCATAAATTTGTGTTTTTACTGTTGCTCCTATCCTACCCATGCATATTCATGCATAATTAGAGCAAAACAATCCCTTGAATCTTCATTACGGTTTCTAAATTCATGCATTTGTGTTACGCAAGCTCTCGTTTAAAAGGCTTTCTTGAATCACTGATCTCAAGAGATCCACATGAAAACACGGTTAAGTTGCACATGTAAACCGAGAGAGCTGTACAAAATGTTACATGGCATTGCATAACGTCCGGTTGTCAGTTTTTACCCTTTGGTTACTCAGCTCGGATGGCGGAGGTGTAAATCTCTGATATAGTGGGTCAAAACCTCTGATGAGAGCCGCGCAGCCCACAGTGAGCAGGTTTGCTGAAAGAGCAGCTCACAGAAAAACCTGCTCTCTTTGAATCAGCACTACGGACAGCGGCAGCTAAAGAGATGTCAGTCTGCTGACACTGTATCACTCTGTTCAGCTGGGCTCTGATATCTAAACAAAGGCTGGTTACACAATACAACTAAGCTAACGAATATTGCTTGTTCTTCAACAGAGCTGTTGCGAGCGTCATGCAAGGAGCCCGTCAGGGTCAACACGAGGAGGCCATCGGAATGCACACACAGCATTATGACACTGTGCAGGCCAGAGCAAACAACATGCGTAAGTTGACTGTAACCTACTTGCTCTCTTTTCCCACAAGCTCAGCATAAACTGTGCACTACATTTTTATGAAACAGCCTAAAAGCATGGTTTGTCCTGGCTGGAGTGCCCAATATACCATACCCTCTATGCAAACAATGCACTTGTGTATTGAATTACATGTGTAGTTATAAATGATACATACAGTAAAACTTATTAAATATTTAGTTTTGCTGGTGGTGCAAAACTTTGTTTGTTTTGTGCCACTTTTGAATTCTTAGCATACAGTATGTACTATAGATATAGGTTGTTGAGATGAGATTTCATTTTCACTGTCACACATGTAAAAAATGAAGATAATTAGTTCTGTCGTCATTTTTAATGGAGTAAATGGTAAAACATTTCTTTGTCTTCCTTGGATCTCTTGGTATAAAAAATGCTGAGTTAATGTTTTTTTCATATGGTGTGACTGTCTCAAGCATAGTTCTATGAGGTAAAGCTCTTATAAATTAAAAAGAAAATCATAAAACCATTAATAAATACACCAGGCCTAATTTTATTAATAATAATAATGCATTTTATTTAGAGCATCACAATGACGCAATAGGTAGCACGAACGCCTCACAGCAAGAAGGTTGCTGGTTTGAGCCCCGGCTGGGTCAGCTGACATATCTGTGTGGAGTTTGCATGTTCTCCCCATGTTTGCATGGGTTTCCTCTGAGTGCTCTGGTTTTCCCCACTGTTCAAAGACATGCAGCATAGGTGTATTGAATGAGTTAAATTGCCCGTATTGT